TGCAGGCACTCTGCAGAGGAAGGCGGTCTCTTAGGAATGCAAAACAGGCACATCCACAATCTCTCAGGCTCAAAACAGCAAGGCAGGGGCCTCTGGAGCAAGATTCCAGCAACTACTGCAAAAGGCAGTGATGGAAAGTAGGGTGGGGGATCCCACAGATGTAGGTGTTATCAACAATTATCCTCACACAGTGATCTGCAGGATACATTGTGAAATGAACAGAACACTGCTGAACAGTGTTTCTAGCATGCTACTTTTTGTGTGAGAATGGGGGGATGTAAATATATACGTTTTGCTTATATTTTTCAAAAAGAAACAGCAACGTGATAAAACTAATAAGAATGGTTACCTTAATATAAGAGGAAAAGAATAGACAGGGCATAGGAATAGAAAGGAGTTTTCTAAACTCTGTTCTATGATTTTTGAAACCATATCAATTCTTCGTATAATTAATAAAAGAAAACAGTTAAATCAAAAAAGGAAAGCAAAAACAAGCTCTAATAATTGGAAATAAACTGAAATAAATGCCCCTAACTCTGGGTCAAGATGGTGCATAATCACACAGAGAAAAGAACTATTTCAAGTGACTTGAAAACAGTTTGTTGACCGTACATCCCTAGTAGGATTTATTATAAAGACTTTTTTTAATCCCAAATAATTTTAAATCTATAATCAATAGTCTTATTGTTAGCAGTAATGTCAATATTATTTGGGGGGGAAACTGTTATAAGCATGTTGCATAAGGCAAAAAAATTGCTTTCTCCACAATCAGCAGTTCCCCCCTTTAGTTCTGGTCCACCAGACTGGTCTAAGCCCCTCAGGATCCTTTATCGCAGTGGCTGGAAGCATCCTTGCTTCCTTCTTCTTGCATCCCCAGTGTCTGGCTCACAGTCAGCCCTCAACGAGCATCTGTTGGGTTGAAATAAAGTCCAAGGCACCAGGACTCTACTTATATGCCCCCGACTCACAGCCTATCCAATATCCAATAGGCCTCTGAGACCTGTCTTTCGTACCTGGAGGCCTCCTTTGATCTTTGTCACAGCCCCACGCAGGACTCTGGGCTTTGCCCATGAAGCATTAGTGGCAGGCTGCCTTTCAGCCCTGAAAGTACTCTCCCTTTCAGCCCCTCAGCTTCAAACCCATGCTCTTACCCCATTTTGCCATGTCAGTAGTCATTTACTTTTAACAAAGAGATTTTTCCCTTTATTATTTCATCAACTCCTCCTCTTAACCCCATTTTAAAGCTCCATTTTACAAACAAGGAAACTGAGACTCGATGAAGTTAAGTCATTTGTCAAGTCCCCTCTGCTAGTGAACGATGTAGATTGGTCAAAAGTTCTTTGGACAGATATGGGTTCAAATCCACTACAAACCGTGTTGACATGAGCAAATCATTCATTCATACATTTACTGATTTAAAAACCGTTTATTGAATCTGCGAGGCACAGTGTTGGTGCTAGGAATACAGAGGCGAATGGAGAATATAGACAGGGTTCTCCAGGGATAGCTGAGGTTCCATTTCCCCAGCTGTCAAAATGGGAATAATATCTGTCTCTGCCACAAATGAAGGAATACTCGAATTGAAATAAAACGAAATATATACAATTAGTATAGATGTTTAGCATAGATATAGATATAGGAGGATAGTTTACATCAACAGGCTAGGCAAATCTTCAGGATTTTCCAGATGCTTCTGTGATACTTCAGATGATACTTCCAGATGCCGACTGGGCAGATTATCCAGAGGCCCTGGTAAAAAAAAACCTGCCTCTTTCTAGAACATGTAAGTCCAAAGGTGTTTATTAAGCACTGGCCAGGGGCTCTACCCTGTGCTGTGCGTGAGGCGTCCCCCCATGTGGAAGACAGGACCAGGAACGTGTGCCGACCGTCCATGGTAATGTCTGACGGTCCTGTGAGTCCTCTCAGAGGGTGATCATGGCAGAATGTAGGCAGAATGAGTGTTTTTAAACTCAGGGGGGGCCGGCCCTGTGGCTCAGCGGTTAAGTGTGCACGTTCCGCTGCTGGCGGCCCGGGTTTGGATCCCGGGCGTGCACCAACGCACCACTGCTCGGGCCATGCTGAGACCGCGTCCCACATACAGCAACCAGAAGGATGTGCAGCTATGACATACAGCTATCTACTGGGGCTTTGGGGGGACAAATAAAATAAAATAAAATAAACTCATGGGCCTTCAAGACAGGCAGATCTGGCTTTGGGTCCTTGCCCTGCCATTTACTAGCTAGTGACTCTGGACAAGTTCCTTACCTGAGCTGCCTCTAGTGAAAAATGGGTGGGTGTAATAACACTACCTCATAGGATCACTGGAAAATTAAATAAGGTAATGTACACAAAAGGATTAAAACAGAACCTAAGACACAGTAAGAACTCAGTAAGTAGCCCATATAGTAAGTTTCTTCTACTATAGCACAAGTCTTGAGTTTCTCACTTGCCTGAAAGATACTTTTGTCTTCTAGAACAGCCAATGCAGTCAGGATGCATGGGATGAAGATGCAGAAATGGCCCACACCAGTTGCTAGCCCCTGAAGCCCCAGTGCAAATCTCTCTTTGCAGGGCTCAGCTCCAAGGAGTCCAGCTGGGTGCATCTGGCTGGAGAGATTAAATTATTTTTGAATTCCTAACTGAATGTTCTTTTAATGGAAACTTAATGACAGGCATTGAAATAGATTTCCTCCATAAGCCCTCCTCCCGCGGCGCCCCCCACACGGCTCTGGGTTGCACAGTTCCCGATAACCTTTATTCCCTACCCCTGGACTTTTATCTCCCCAGTGACAAACAGCTCTTGCTGGACAGAAAGAGGAAATTCCAGTCATTGTTCTCAAACTTCTGGCTTCCAAAATAAAATGCTCTATCTCCCCTGTCAAGCTTTGATTGACATCCACTTCCTGTAATGGCAGACAACAACGGCCCAGGGGCGGGGTCAGGGGCTCATTTGCATTCTTTGCATCAGAGGTTTTCATAACATTTGTTGTAGACAGAGGAAGATCCCCCATGCTACTCACAGAATCACCTTGTTGAGGACCCATCTCCAGCATCATGAAGAATCTCCCAAGAAGGCACCTCAGCCGTCCACACAATCCACCAAGGAAGTTCTTTGCTGTCCTGTTCCACACCCCTCAGCCGTGGAAACAGATGGACACTCGAATCATCTTTGACAACTTAGGCAATCTTTGGCAACTTAGAGAAGATCTTTTCCTTCTACCCTTTCTTTCTTCAGAAATAAATTATTAGACAGTCTCCCAAATGTTAACTCTAAATATTGGAGCTTGAGCCAACCTAAGTCCTGGAAATTTAAACCAGGATCAGACTCTCCAAGTCAAAACCCCCATAGCAACACAGCTAAATTAGGTTATTCACGGATAATCAGTACCAAGGAAAACTTTGAATATGGTAATGCATCATGGGATGCAGTTTTTCTTGAAAGGAATAAGAAATGTTGAATTCCTTTTAAGATGGATAAATCAGTAAATATAATAAGACGGCACACCTGTAGCAATAGCAGTACTGATGTGGTCAGGACCTGCTGGGAACAACGTTACTGCACTGGAATAAAAAGCCGGCCTCTAACACCAGCATTAACCTATAGGCCTTCTGGAACCTTCTGTTTTCCATTTATTTTCTTTACTCACTGAGCTCCTATGCCCTTGGTAACCCCCTTTCTCCAAATGTCCAGGGTTCTTATGCTGCTTTTGCATTCCAGCTGCCCCTTAGGACTATCAAAAGGTACCTCGGAGGCCTCATTTCCTCAAGGCTTTATTGGATGTAAATATGTTAATGGTTGCTAGAGGTTCAATGGGAATTTGCATTAAAAAGAAGACTCCAGGTGACAGAATGCCTTAATCCTAATAAAGGAATATTTGGAAGCAGACAGACTTCCACTGAATAACCCAGAAAGAAATGCCAATCACACAGATTCCAGTTGTTGTTCAGCTCTCTTAACAATCAAAAGGAATGGACTGTTTAGGATCATTTCTCCTCCAGCAATCCCCAAGCATGCTGCTAACGAGCAGGAGAACAGACCAGAAGGAGTGTGTTCTGACCTCCAGTTTATAAAGCAAATACAGAGTCATAAAACCTCATGACAACGGGCCAGCAGAGAATTCTAGCTCCCTCAAACTTGTTATACCTAATTTCCTTTAACTTTGTCAGTAGGTTAAATCACAATGCCAACACACTTATAGGCACAGAGTAATCTCCAATGTGGGCCAGTTGTGTCCACTGTTAAGGCTGCTGACAAAGTGCGCATCACTAAACCCATCAGACTTCTCACTGGTCTTGGTCAGAAGGACCAGAGTGTGTGTATGGATCTGTACAAACTCAACCCCAGGCCTGGGAAAACAAAGCCATCCCTACCGACAACTGCCGGCAGCTGCCGCTTCGTGTGCCAAGACTCACACTGGAATGATTTGATGGTGCTGCACAGGAAGGGGCATGTCTGTAGCCGAGGTCATTTCCTCCTAGGGAAGCTGGAGTCAAGACAACATATGCATCCTATTTGCCATCTTCCCACCCCTCCTGCCTCTCCCAGGAGAAAGGCCACCCTCAACAAGAAGATGTTCACCAGGCGGTCTGTCACAATTAATACACAATAACTGACACTTTTGGAAAGTATGTGCACAGTTTCAGAGATTTAATATATTAATCAACACACTAAAAACATTTTGATTCCTAAACAGCTGCTTTGAGTATCATCCTTTCCAGAATACATTCAAAATAATGTAGCTGGGGAACTAAACATGACATTCACAATAAAATCTTCCCCTAAAGATCAATCCTTATATTAGGTTGGTCCCTTTGAAGATGTGGTATTGGCCCTCAGAGAAAGGAAGACCTAGCACTTGCCTCACTGTAAGGTCACATCCTTTCCCTTTCACGCTTCTCCTTTAGAAACAGCATTTCAGTGCAAACCCTAGGCAGCAAAACACAGGATACATTTTTTCTCAGAAGCATTAGCAGTACTTTCCCCTCTAAAGTGACTTGGCACCTTCAAACTCCTCATCCCTTTCTTGGAAGATCAGGAAGTATTCTTTTAACAGATTTGTAGCCCATCATCCCATCTAACACGAATTGGAAGAAATGTCACCACCATTTCAAGTCAAGCATCCTTTCCTGCAGGAAGGTGTTCATTGAGATTCTAGAGCGGTGATTTAGCCTCTGTCTAAATGTACCACGTGAGATCATTTGGGCCAAAACCCAACTTGGGCCACCGTGTCTCAATAGGCCGTGATGCAGGTTGGGCTCAGTGCTCCTCCCCATGTTGGGTGCATAGAGATGCAGAGTCCATGGACTGAGCCTTTCCTCCACGCTCTGGAAACACAGCCTGACCCAGACTAAGATGACAGCTGCAACAACTGGTGCAGGAGAAGGCCAGAGCCTCACAAATGTTCTTTGTGTGTCAGTCTGTTCTTATTGTCTTTGATTGGTTCATCTCCCTCCACTCAGGAAACAATTTTTCCTTTGATCAAAGCCAATGTTAAAATAAAAGTGACTTTTTTCTTATCAGTAGAATCAAAATGAGAATATGATTTTTCCCTTATATTATCTAAAGCTCATAATTTCTTCAAGGAGACTTTTAAAAGTCTCATTTGGCCTGTCTGTGAGACTTTTGATGATTTTGTCTGTTCCATCAACGTAGCATGATTTCAAATAATCATCTATAGATTCCAATTGAGCTCCTATGCCTTCCATATTCCGGTTTTCTATAAATACAATGAATGTTCCAATGCAGTTGCCTTGTAGAGCTATGTGTCTTGTAGGATCATAGTTATGAGGTTGAGGGGCATCGTGCTGGTAGACCTGGATGGCTCTTGCCCTACCTTCATACCCCTAAATTGTTGATTATATCATAATGCTCCTAGTCACTAGGTATCTTCAAGACTTTGCTTTATTCGTGTTGAAAAGCCACTGCTACATTTTGGTGTCATCTGTTTCACTGACTTCCGACAAGATGAAGTTGGGGTTGTCATAGCCTCTCTTCATCCTGGCTGTAGCATCTTTCTCATTATAAAGGCACATGGCACAGTGAGGGGTCTCCACTTCCACTGTCTTGCTAAAGTTATGGAAATCCACTCGATATTTCCCTTCCTTGGTCTTGGATACTATAGGAGCAAAACGGTAGCCCCAAAGCACCTCTTCTGGGACATAGGATGTCCGGACTTGGCAGGTAGCACTGGTTGACTCCACCGTGCCATCTAAAAACACTACTAATTCAAAGTCCTGCTGGGGAAGAGTTTCTGCTGCCATGTGGAAGAAGGGGCTGTTGTGATCAATGACATGGTAAATTGTCAGTGGGGAAATGAAGAATAAATTTTCATTTCCTGCATCAACTACAAAGTTGATATTGATCTGGTCCAAAATAATGGTCTCTCCTTCAGGAGTGACTGTGGTCTTCAGAAGCTTTCCATATATGTGACTGCCAATAAGGAGGCTCTTCCTAAGATTAGCCACCCGGATTAGGAGACAAAGCTTCCCACCCCGTTTACTGATCACTGCATTCTTGCTGAATGTAATGGTCTTGGCACGTTTTTTGGATCTGGAGATCTTGGCTAAAATGGCACCACACATGAAAGAATTGATGATGACTCCAAGTATAGACTGGAAGATAAGCAGAAAAATGGCAGTGCCACATTTTTCTGTCACACACCTGAATCCATATCCAATGGTCACTTGCGTTTCCAGGGAAAACAGAAAAGCTGAAGTCAAGCCATTAATGTTCTCCACACAAGGGGTGTGATTGATGGAAGGACGGAACTCGGGGAGATCTTTGTGAATGTAGGCTACCGCGTACCACAGGAGACCAAAGAGGAACCAACTCCCCAAGAAGGCTGTGATGAAGATGGTCATTTTGTATCTCCATTTGAGGTCAAGCACAGTCGTCCAGATGTCCACAAAGAATATAAACCTTGACTGTGCCTCCACATTGCCAAACTCTATGTTGCACCTTCCATCTTTGGAGACCAGCCTTGCTCTTTGCCGAGAATGCCCAAAAAAGCGAGTGACAAACCATTTCCGAAGATGTTTGAACATTCTTTCTGTCAACACCCGGATCTGAAAACACATCAAAGAAAAACAAAACAAAACAAAACAAAATTATGTTTATAGCAGTTGTGAACTAGATGACTCACATAAAGAGCTGACTATATATGAAAAACCATTCAAAACAATCTGGGTTACTGATCATTTGGGCAAGCTGACAAGTTTATTCTGGATACCGCAATGCTATTTCCAATAGAAACTTTCCACTAGGAGACCATATTGCTTAAAGGTAAAAAGGAAAAATAATTACAGAGAGATAGAAATGGAATGAACCTAACAGAGCATATATTCAAGTGTTTCTTGACCTCAGTCAGTTGCACACAATCTTAAAAATGTTTGTGATAACCAATTATGACCTATACTACAATTTACTTGATATTATTTTTTAAATCAACTCTCCTTTTTTCTTTAATAGACTTAACCTAATGCTAAGCAAAAATATCTGTGAAAGCAGAAGCTTGATGCACTATTTACATTTTTGGGGTAATTTACAAAAATAAATAACTATGAATAAAACGCACTCATTGATGTACTACCTAAATCATCTTGTGTACTGCAATTGGTACTCATATATCAAGAGAAATTCTTGATCCAATTCAGTTCTTTCATTTATCAAATAAGGGACTGAGACTCAGGAAATTGTAATGACATGTCCAAAGTCGTGTACCTAACCAGGCAGGATGACAACTAGAGCATAGGGCTCCCTGCTTCCAGTCCAGAGGAACCTCTACCACATTGCATCTCAATAATTAAATTTTATATTCTAAATTTAGATTTCCCTGAGACATTTTAAGACAAGTATTGGTCAACTTCCTTTTTGTTTTTTAATTCTTGACACTATTTAGAACAAAGTTCCTCAGTACTCTTTGGTCAAGTCCTACCAGATGATCTCAGAAGTTTTCTCAGTGGATCTATAAGCCTGTTCCTACTTTCTCTCCCTGATTTGCCAAGATTCCCAAAAGGAACAGTATGATGGTCACCATCGATATCTCACACTTCCTTCCCTGCTCCCAAGCTGAAGGACTGGGGAACACCGATTTAAATACTATTCCAAAAGGGTAGAACCATGTTTTATTCATTCATCTGTTCCAGCTGCTAGCACAGTCTATGAGTGCTTACTATGTATTCAATAAACATAAGTGGAATAACTCAGTGAATGAATTAAGCTCTTAAAATACAATCTGATCAATGATTTCTTTTTGATGACATTATTGTGACTTCCATTTTACAGCAAAAGAATGAAGTGATTTTCCCCCAAACAGCCAATAATAATGAAACCCAGAGATCATAAATACTAGACTACCTCCTCCCCTAGGTGTGCCCACCTCCACCCCCAAGGTGTGCCCACCATGGTTAGCAATGTCTTCGTGGTATTTTTAATTAAATGCAAATATGTTTCTAAAATGGGTTTCAAAATCCCCCTTCAAAATGTGTTTATTCATACAAACTAGGAAGCGAAACCAACTTAGTGATAAATTTTAAACAAAAGTGATATTCTACAGTGTCTTGCTCATAGCTTTAACCCAGGTGAAAACACAGAAGCCAACACCAAGAGAAAACCACAGCTATCGTGATTTGAAATTTTGAGGACAGGTTCTAAAGATATAAAAAGAGAAAATGCTACCAGGAGAGAAAACAGCAGTGCACACTCTCAGAGGGCCCTGCCCTCAGCCCACCCAACCTTCATTGACCTCTAGTCTCCAAAGACAATTAGGGGACAGTCCCAGGGAGGCACACCAGAGGAGAGAGAGTCTCCTCCTGCCCCAGTCTCTCCCCTTTCTGTGCACACACATCATTTAGCCTTGCTTACATTCACTGGGGACTTTCTCCCTTTCCCAAGTTCATGGAGGCTCATACTGTTCAAAAGGCTCTTCATAGAGTAGATCTCACCTAAAATAATAAATTCTAAAGCCAACATTTATCAGTTGAACCCACATTCTCTTTGTCATACATTATAATTCCAGAAATGGCTCCTAACACACCAACTTCTGAGTTTTGATTCCCCACTACTCTTCTTCACCAGTCTGTCTTAAATTTGTTTTACTTTTGAAGATAAAGAATATTTCTGTAGAGTGAAGTACACCCTGATTTATCTCTTGGATAAGTTTTGGTTTCCATGCCTGTGTTACTAATAAAATATTGTCTGCCTGGCCTTGCAAAGAGCTGAAACAGAAGCAACCGGCTTATAATGCTTTCTCCAGATCGTCTGCACTTACCAACATCCTAAACGTATTCCGATCTGAGGCATCCATGGCTGGGAAAAGCAAGGAAGCAGTGTCGGGAGCTGGTCTCTGTATGCAAGCTGATTTCTTTTAGACCCAGCCTCATTTATTTTAGGCTTTGGTCAGTGGACTGATACTAATTTGTATTAGCTTGAAAACACTGAATTTGATAATGGAGTTGTGTGGTTTAAACCAAGGCAATTGGTTGTTCTCGGACCAAGCCCCAAGGTGGGTATGTATTTTTTCCCCCAAACCTCACATGGCTTGAATACCGTCATGCTAAGACATGACAAACCACCAGCAAAGGTCCCTGGGCAGCAGGCACGGATTGTGTTTCAGCATTTCTCTCCTCTCCTTTGCCACGCTCCAGAGCTCTCTTGCTGTTTCTCCTAGGTCGTGCGTAATAACTTTTCCCCAGAAACAATTAGTTATCATCAATCTCCCAGCCTATTCTCTGAAACACACTGAGATATTGAGATTTCCAAATGTTCACAAAGATACAGGTGATTACGTAGACGTAGATTAGTACATATTTGTAAGATGAAAGTAAAACCACACCAGGAAGAAACAAGATACCATATTAATCTCTCTATACAACAGACACTGTTATGTAAGAACCTGAGATTTTAAAGCAGCCTTTATAGTTGGATTTATTTTATAAAATCTGGCGTTAACTGAAAGTACTTTTTACATGTACTGGGTTAGCCAATGCTGTTGATTTATTTATTCAAAGAATGAGAAGAATTATACCTAGAGATTGCAAAAATATGGGAGAAATTCATCCTCTGACCAAACTCATTGTTCACATGGCAGACCCATTATCCACAGCACATCTCCTACTTTGCTTCGGCAATGGCATTTAATCTCACCACCGACAGAGCCAATGTGACTTTTTGAACTATTGGGTGGTTAGAGATTGGCCCTGGTGTCTGGGTTATGCGCAGTTTGAGGTTACTTTCTATTGAAATCAGTAAATCTTAATAGCAAGCAAAGGGCTGTACATTAGCTACTATTTACCCAGGTAGTCTTAGTGGCCTGGACAGCAAGTGGATTCTCTTATTGCCACTTTCCCTTAGTGCTCCAGCTTTCTTTCCCTGTAAACAGTCCATTCTCAGAAAATAGGCTTTTTGTAAACTTCCCAAATATTGTCTGCTTATTTTTTAGGATTTCATAAACAAACAGAACTCTGTTCTTGCTCTCAAGGAGCTGGCAGTCGAACGGGGAAGCGAGCTCAGTAAACCGGCTATTACAATGCAGTGTGGTCCGAATAGCTCTCTATTAGATGGGTATCCACGCTCTGCGAAAACACTTCAACCGACAGAAAACTGATTGCCTTTATGTGTACATTAGTGTGTGTATCTATCATTATCCAACCCTGATGGGTCCATAGTGGTGTGTGTACCAGGCACTGTGCTAGACATCAGGGAAGCAATCGTTTACCAAATGGGCACAGTCCTTGTCATCGTGAAGAAGCTTCCAGTCGAGTGTAGGGGTAGGAGACACAAACGACCTGATAAACAATTAAATGCTGTGTGATGCGTGCCGGGACAGCAAACAGTGGGAGTGCTCCCGGGAGCACCTTATCTGAGGGGCAGAGAAGTGCCATCGAAGCCAAGGCCTGAAGATGGCATTAGAGTCACACATAGTAGGAACTCTATAAATATGTGTTGAATGATGATAAATAAATTAGTCAATGCATGCCTAAAAGCAATGAGCTTGCTGTCACTGATGTGGCTTCCCACCAATGAGATATTTTAGAAGAGACATTCCTGTGCACGTAGTACTGACCACACTGCGCTGTAATTGTGTATGTGACTCAGGCAGGGGCATCAGAAAGAGAGGTTGGAGGAGCTGGAAGAAGTTCCAGGTAAATAGATAACAGAGTGCTACAGGGGCCTCCGTGAGACGCTGGGCTGGAAAGGCAAGCAGGGCCGGCGCCCTCAGTGCTCGGTGTGCCTGTGAGAGGTTTGTGTTGTAGACTAGAGGAGAAACTGACATAAAGACACTGGTCTAGTTCCACTTCAGGGACAACTCATTATAATTCTAAATAAGTCTCAAGTCTCTTTCATTTAACACTCCTTCAAATTCTTGAAAATAAACATATTTTCCTCCTGAATCTCCTTTTCTTCATAAAAATGCACGTTTCATTTGCATGCAAGGCCCACGGCAAACAAACCCTCTTCATTTTAAGTGAGGCACCTACAGTTAGTGCTCACTGATGAGACTATATTGAAAGTATCAGCATAGAGGCTGTCCCTGCAGGCCTCCACCCGAGAACAAGCCCTTAGGAATCTGGGGTTTCCTATAGCACCTGTCACACCGCCTCCTTCCCACCCCCCTCATGCTCCACAGCCACAATACCAGAGAGAGGAGGACAGAGAGTCCTGGTTTTGATTGCCTCTTGTTTAGAATTACAAAGGCTATCATTTCTCTATAGAGATGAAAACACTGACTGTAGTCTGCCTTTTAGTCAAACCTCTCACAGCCTTAGTTCCCTTCAGGAAGTTTCTAGCAGTTAGATTTGATGTTAAAAATAGAAAATATGAGTTATGGGTCCTGAGAGCAGAAGTCAAATTACTTTCTGCAGTCCCTTTGGTGGAGAAGAAATTCAAGTTTCCATGAAAATGTACTGCTTTGTTTCAGGCCAACAGCCCATTGAATTAACAGGCATTTGTTGAGGAGGTACCACAGCAAGGCATGGAATGGGATTCTGGGACGTGGTCTCTGCCTCCTTAATCAATATATCGAACAGAGACTCTATTTATGGAACATCTCCTGTGTACCAGGCGC